GCAGCGGAAATGATTTTTATTTTCTGATCTGTCGGAACAACGCAGTAAAAGAAAGTTTAGCACATCGTTTGTAAGTGATCATTAACACCCGAAATAACTATGAGAGACCAAGAAAACAAAGAACAAGAAGGCAGTTCGAAAGCCCGTATCAAGATATCAAACTTAAAACAAGAGGTCAATATAAAGAGCCATTACATACTTACAAAATATTTGATACATCAAACTGTTTTTCTTCATCTTTTAGTTGCATGCGGCGAACGAAATCCGACAAAGAGGTTTCGAAGTCTTCAAATTGATGAAAAACATTTAGCTGCTTTTGAATCCATGTCGATACACGAGCCGATGAAACTACTTCTAAAACACTTTTGCCTTCTTGCATGCTCCGTTGAACAATTGTATCAACTGACTTCCTCCATATCTCACCGCTTGAGCTGTCAATCGCTCATCGACAAGAACTAGAGCACCCCAATCGTTTCGATGACGTAAACACCTAAAAATAGTGTGCAAAACTTCAATTTTCGTTGGAATTGCATTGCTACCTGCCAAGCGCTTGATTCAGAGCACGATAAGCTTGCGACACGTACCATTGATCTCCAGTGAGCAACGCTTTGGTTTTACAAAACTCGTCATTATAAATCTTCTTCTCTTTCACCTGGTCAATGAACAGATTGGATTTGGAATAGTTACAGGGTTAAGGCATTATTACATCAACAGTCATGACTGGCTGCATCAATCAAGCAACAAAACGGAACAGATATTCTATACACACGACATACCAAATCATCCATGGCATTAGGAAATGGGATGCCAACAGAGATTACCAATCTAGCGAGATCATCAGCAAAGTCAATTCCTTCGGAGACCTATACATGGAAAACATTCAAATATGAAATGAATATGAGTAAATATGGAATGGAAACGAGTTTTTAAAGTATTAGGCCTAATCAGAAAGTTGGGAAGCTGTGCGAAATACATAAAGCACCTTGATTTCAAAGAAAGGAAATGTAGTAAGAAGAAAAAAGCTTACTTTTCCTCGGAAAACAGCAAACATCAGGGCGCCGTCAACGTGCCGGCCGTAACGAGCGGGATTCCTTACTGCATCCTCATAAACTTCCATCACAGTGGGTAATTCCGAAGAACGACGCGGTTCCTTCACAACTACCTAAAGCCAATGAGATCCGAAAGCATAAACAATAAACAAGAAAAATTTGCCTTGCGTTGCTGAATCTGGCGTAAAATCGAAGCATTCTCCATGTACTCGAAAACTAATGTCAACATACGGTAACTCGGGAAGAAGCAAAGAATCCCTTTTGGTACGGTCTGGGATATAGTGCTGAAATCCAACAATCTATCATGCTCTACTACAAGCTGCTCATGTAATTACCGTATAGTTACTGCAAGCTCGCTAACAAAAGGACTTTTGCCATCGGCGACGTTTCGATAGGTAGCGCAAAGTTTGTGCCCAGAAGGACCCTAAATTTGAGTTCAACCGAAAATTTCAGGACATTTAGAAATTTGAAGTATGGTATTTTGATAAACGACTAACCACTGGCAAAACAGCAGCAAATATCTGCTCAGATGGAATTACTTGTTCTCCTTCCATCTAAAGC